GGATTTTTGGGGCCAGCTGGCCAGCCAATGTATCCAATCAGTGAAAGACCCTGTCTTGGAAATAAGGTTGAAGGAGACATATGAAGTTTTCTTCTGGCCTCCAAATACATGCTAGCACATGTATAAATAAAAATAGTTAAAAGTGAGTATCATGCACACTTGTAAACCTAGCACTTGGAAGGGTGAGGCAGAGGATTGTAGTGAGTTTGAGGGCAACTTGTGATGCAGAGTGAGGGCCTTTTTCACCTCACCTCCCCCCAAAATAGAATTTAGAGGCTAGGGGCACATTTTCTATTGTAACTAGTGTAGCTCATTTGGAGAGAGCTTGTCTGTCAATGCTGGGGATCCAGGTATGTACTACTAATCTGTGTGTATGTGTGTGAATGTTTTGCCTGCATGTATGTCTGTATATTATGTGTATGTGTGGTGCCCCTCATAGGCCAAAAAGAAGGCACCAGATCTCCTGGGAATGGAGTTAACAGACAGTTGTGAGCTACCATGTGGGTGCATGGAATCCACCCCAGGGTTGTTTGGAAAAGCAGCCAGTGAATGCTGTTAAACGATGACCCATCTGGCCTCTGAGGATACCCACCCACATGTGACATACGCAGCATACACATGAATAAAACTAAAAATCTTTTTTTGTTTGTTTTTGAGACAGGGTTCCTCTGTGAAACGGTCCCGACTATCCTGGAACTCGCTTTGTAGACCAGGCTGGCTTTGAATTCACAGAGATCTACCTGCCTTTGCCTCCTGAGTACTGGGATTAAAGGCATTCACCACTACCACCAAGCTAAAATAGAAATCTTTATTTTAAAGTGTGTGTATATGTGTGAGGGCATGCAAGTGCACGTGCCTGCTCGATATACGTTACTGCTGTAGAGATGATAGATGTGGCCAGGTTTTTAGAGTTAGTGTTTTTCACTTCTGTAGAATGTAGAAATCTTACCATTATATAGGTTGTTTCACCTTCCTCCCCTTAAGTAATGGTTTTCTGAAGTATTATATTTATGTATATTGAAAATACCTTTAAAATACTGGTTTTGTTCTAAACTGTCAAATTTAACAGAGTTGAGAAAAGCAATCTACTAACTTTATTCATACAGATTTGTCATTTCTGTATCTTTACATGTGTTGGCGGGGTTGACGTGTGTGATGCTGTGTGTGTTCAGGTCAGAGGATAATTTTGTAGAGTTTGTTTTCCTCTCCTACCTTTTTGTGGGTTCTGGGGCTTGAACCCACATCACTAGACTTGCCAGCAAGCACTTTAAAACGGAGCTATCTCATTGGCCCTTTCTTTGCCAGTTCTTTTAGAGCAGTTGTTGTACTGCCTCTACCTCCCTAGCACTGCAATTGCAAATATGTGCCACCATGCCCAGCTTTTTATATGTTGTTCCTGAGGATTGAACTCTGGTTGTTATACTTGAACAGCAAGCTGTCTCTGTAGTCTCTTAACCCCCCCCCCCCATACTCCAATTTTCCTTTAGGTCTTCTTTGTACATCTTATCTGAGCTCTGTTACAGTTTATAATGTGATAAAGGACTCAATAGTACATGATATAGATTTACCTAGGGTTTAGTTTCAGGTGCATTTAGGTTTTAGTTTAGTGGGTCTCCTTATTGCTCAGGCTGGAACTCTTTTCTTTCTTTTTATATTCTTTGTGTCTTTCTTATCATGCATCTTCATTCCATTCATTTCCCTGTTCCTTTGTATCCACCCTCTGCCCTTATAACCCTCTCCCCCCCAAAAAAATTGTTTTTGTTTTTCTTTTTTTATATATTATTTTTATTTTACATTTTGATCCCAGTTCCCCCTTCCTCCTTCCCTGTTTTTGTTTCTCGACACATGGTTTCTCTGTGTAGCTTTGGAACCTGCTCTGAAACTTGCCCTGTAGACCAGGCTGTCCTCAAACAAACAGATCCACCTGCTTCTGCCTCCTGAGTGCTGAGATTAAAGGCATGTGCTACCACCAACTGGCTAATAAAACAAATTTTAAGAGAAAAAAGAAAAAAAGAGAAGGAAAAATATTAATCTCGTCATGGAAGCTGTAAATCCTTCTATCTATGTACCTTTACTCCCAAGTGTTCATTCCAAAGAGTCATTGGTCTGGTTTGAGGCCTCTGGTTTCTGATACAGTATCTATCCATGCTGGATCCTCACTGGAACTTCTTAGTTATCCTGCTGTTGCCCTATGATGTGGAGATCCTACAGCTTTTATCTGCAGGACTGGTCCCTTTACTTGCTCCAGCAGATCACAGATGGGATGGATGTTGGGGTGGGCCAACACATAACCCTGGTGCTGGGCCTGGGTAGTTGCAGAGTTGGTTAGCCCTAATCAACTTAAGGAATCTTCCCATCTCTTTCTTCAGATTTTAGGGCTATACATGCCATTCCTGGCTTGTGTTTAGTTTTATTCTTAGTTCTACTCTGATGGGGAATGTTCTTTTGTATATATGTTTGTCTTATTGGTTGATGAATAAAACACTAATTGGCCAGGCAGTCTGGAGGTTTGGAGGTCTGTACAAACAGGCAGGAAGTGACTTAGCTGGGCAGAATCAAAATTTAAGCAAAGACAAACAGGAAATCTCTCCTCTGCAGAGATGTAGCAGGCAAAGGAGATGCAGGTCCGTCCAACATTCTCGGTAAGCCAAGATCACGTGGAAATACTTAGATTAGATTGATAGAATGGGTTAATATTTAAGACAGAGCTAGCCAATAAGAAATGCTAGTAACTGGCCAACAGTTTCATAATTAATGCAGTCTTTGTGTGTTATTTGGGGCTGACGTGGCTGTGGGACCAGGCTGGCAGGAAACTGCTTGTAACACTACTCATAATTATTGGCTGATTTGATGTGGTGACTGTTGCAGAGGTTCTTGTCCATATGGGTCCTGCCACCCTTCTCAGCCCCAAATAAACACACAGACACTATATTAACCATAATACTGTTTGACTAGGGCTTCTTATTGGCTACCTCTGTCTTAATTATTAACCCATTTCTAGTAATCTAAGTATTTTCATGTGGTCTTGGCTTACCGGAGAATGCCCAGACCTGTTAACTCCTTTGGCGGGCTCCCTCTGACCACTTTTCCCAGAATCCTCTCTCCCAGTCCCACCTATCTTCCTGCCTTACTGGTCACAGGGTTTTATTCATCAACCAATAAGAGAAACATACATACAGAAGGATATCCCCCATCAGGTGGTTAGGTAGTAGTTGTTAATGCTTTTCTTCTTCCTATATCCAATCCATCTCTGCTTATGAATGCCTGAGAATATGATATGGATGCTGTTTTGATTTTTCAACACATATTCTGCTAGAGTATTGGGAGTTTCATTCTCAGAAACCTTCCTGTTCTCTGGATCCTAGAATTTTATACATACAACTCCTTGTGCTTGGCAAATTTTTGGTTTGAGACAGGGTCTTGACATGTCAACTTGTACCACTACATCAGGTTTACACTCTACAAGTATATGGTTTGTTCTTTAGGATATCTGGAGAACCTTTCATTATGATTGTCCTGAGAATTTGGGTCATTTATGTACAATAGGTTTCTGTTGAGGTTTTGGGCAGATGTTGTAAGGACATGGTTTTGTTCATTCTTTCATGTTTAGTGGCATCCTAGGCCTCTATCCACAAGTTGGCAATAGCTTGCCCTCTGGTTAAGACAGTGGAAAATGTCTCTAGTCACTCCCAATTAATAGACTCTAGAATTATAGTTCTTTTCAAATACCATTATAGCTTGCTAAATGTTAACTATTTTTTCTTCAATAGAATATAATTTTCTTGTGAGAGGCAGAGGCTCTATTATTTTCCAGCATCTAGCTAGAGTCTGACACATAAACAATAAATACTTGTTGAACGGATTGAACATAATTCAGCATAATTGGATGAAAGTTATTTGTGACATACAAGTTATCCAATATAGTATGAAGGTTTCTTGAGGCAATTTCACGAAAAGAAGTACATCCTGTTATTTTTTTCGCCCCCCCCCCCCCCGGGACAGGTTTCTCTATTGCTTTGAAGCCTGTCCTGGAACTAGCTCTGTAGTACAGGTTGGCCTCAAAGTCACCGAGATTCACCTGCCTCTGTCTCCCGAGTGCTGGAACTAAAGGTGTTCACCACCAATGCTCTGCAATCCTGTTATCTGAAAGTGCTTTTTCCATAGACAAACACTAGCCCTAGTGTTTGTACAGTTTGTCTTACTTTGTAAGATCTAGTTTATACTTGTGTAGTACATTGCTTTGCTTTAAAGTTTTGAGTCCAGGAAAAAAAAAAAAAAAAAAAAGGAGAAATAGAAGTTGTCCTGTCTTGAAATACAGTATATAGTGGTCAGTGCACAGTTGTGTGTCCTGACATCCTGTGGTGGTTATGGTGACTATTACGGCTGTCAGTGCAATTCTTGGTAAATAGTGCTCTGTTGTAGAATTTTGTAGAACAGGTTCCTGCTTGTATAACTCTTTTTACCAAGTAAAAGCTATTGATACTTCTGTGATCCTGAACCATAGTTTTTCTCAAAGGCTCACATTTTGAAGCAATATTTGAAAAATTAACTTAAGGATATTTTGAATTTGGCTCTAACTTAGTTTTTGAGAATTTTTTTTTTTTTTAATAAACAGGAGTACTTCTTGCCTCTTTATTTTGTTGTTTAGGGTTTTTGTTTTTTGAGATAGTTTGTTTCTGTAGCTGTGGCTATCCTGGGAACTCTTTATGTAGACCAGGCTGGCTTCAAACTCAGAGATATGCCTGCCTCAGCTTCCTGAGTTGGGGCTAAATGTGTGTGTCATCATGCCTGGCTTCCTTGTCTTTTTAATCACCTTACTCCTGTGGCCAATACCTACATACTAATTTATCTATCACCAGATTTTTTTCAGATTTTATATCCACTTATTCCTATTCAGTCAGTTCTTTGAACAATAGTAAAATGGTATGTAAACAAGATGTTTAGGTCATACCATTGTATTAGAAAACCCCTAGGGGCTGAGGGATAGCTCAGTGGTAGAGATGCGCTCAGTATGTACATGTCCCTGCACTAAAAAGAAAAAAGACACCACTCTGATTTATGTTACTAGTCTGCCAGAAAGTAGTCCTAGTTCCTGAACTAATCTGGACTCTTCATTGTGCTACTTTTTTCAGGAGGAGCAAGGCAGCATGCTGGGCTCCGGCTTCAAAGCTGAGCGCTTACGAGTCAATTTGAGATTAGTCATAAATCGTCTTAAATTGTTGGAGAAAAAAAAAAGTGAGTACTGTGTCCCTCATGACTTCCCTCCAGTCCCCCTATCCCCTCCTTTTTAAACCTGCTACCAGCATCCCAAGCTGGAACTTTCAGGCTAGCACTGTGGAGTCTTTCTCATAGCTTTGCAATTAGGGTACATGTCTGCCTCTTATATATAGTTAAATTGAAGCATGACCATGGCGACTGTTATAAAGAAAACATTTAATTGGCTGGTTTACAGTTTAGAGGTTCAGTCCATTATCATCATGGTGGGACATGGCAGTGTGTGGCAGAAATGGTCCTAGAGAGGTAGCTGAGAGTCATATCTTGAGCAGGAAGTGGTCTGTCTCACTAGACATGGCTTGAGCATATATGAGACCTCAAAGCCTGCCTCCACAGTCACACACTTCCTTCAACAAGGCCATACCTACTCCAACACGGCCAACCTCCTAATACTGCCACTCCCTTTGGGGGCCATTTTCTTTCAAATCACCACAGAAGGGGATGTAATGTTGACTCTTCTGTATCCATGGGTTCCATATGTGTGCATTCAGACAAATGCTGACCAGAAATATTCAGAGGAAAAAATACCTATGTATTGAGTTATATGAAAACTTCTTGTTGTTATTCCAAAATAATACATTGTAGCAGCCATTTACATAGCATTTATATTATGCAGTATAAATAATCTAGATATGGTTTAAAGTATACAGGAGACTAAGCATAAATGATCTGTCCTTTCTGTACCATTTTTATATGTCCCAGGCACTTGAGCCTTCTGATTGTGCTATCCATAGGTATCCTGGAACCAATCCCTCTTGTATACTTAGCAACTATTGTGGGATAGTTAAGTATCCTTAATTATGGCTTCTGAGTTGGAAATGTCAGCCAATGCCATAGTTTCATCAGTATAGGGTGAATTCTAATGCAGTTATGATGAGAGTAGTTGTGTAAGGGATATGAGCCAGGATACTGTAGGGTACGTACAGCAGGAATCTTGTCAGTCTTATCAGTTGGGTGGAGGTCTGCCTACTGGCCAAGTTCCAGTACATTACTGCTATGTGACTGGAATGAGGTTTGTGTTTCAGCGGAACTGGCCCAGAAAGCAAGGAAAGAGATTGCTGACTATCTGGCCGCTGGAAAGGATGAGCGAGCACGAATCCGCGTGGAACACATTATCCGGGAGGACTACCTTGTGGAGGCCATGGAAATCCTGGAGTTGTATTGTGACCTGCTGCTGGCTCGGTTTGGCCTTATCCAGTCTATGAAGTAAGATGTCTTGCCTCAGAGGCTAAACAAATCTGGAATTTGAGGATGGAGTAATACTCTCTCAGTCTATATGTATCTGCAGTGGGCTGATACTAAGAGGTTCTTTCACATTCCCAAGGATCTTTTTGCCTATTAGTAAAAAGAAAACAATCTGAAATTCAATCAGTGTTCCAGGTTTGAGTCTTGGTTCAGCTTACATGAGGTTTTGTGGACTTGGGTATGTCACTTAGTTTTTGTTTCTCCAGAAGCAAAATAGGGAAATGAAAAGGTCAGAATGCCAATTACCAGAAGCTAATCTGGTATATGATATAAAAACTATGATTTTGTTGGTTTTAAAGGATGTTAAGCTATATATTTATTTTCTTCATTAGGGAGTTAGATTCTGGTCTGGCTGAATCTGTGTCTACACTGATCTGGGCTGCTCCTCGGCTTCAGTCAGAAGTGGCTGAGTTGAAAATAGTGAGTACAAGCAGTTTCTGTAATGTCTGTAGGCTTTTTGTTTTGTTTAGACAAGGTCTCACTGTGTCACTGTGGTTGGCCTGGAACTCACAGAAATCTACCCTTCTCTGCCTCTGCCTCTGAGTGCTAGGATTAAAGGTATGTGCCACCATGGCTAGCCTCTGTAGTTTTTGGTATTATTTGAAAAGTCTGATTATTTGACTGGATATCTTGTACCTTCTAGTTTTGAAATAGGCTTTGCTAAATAGTTCCTCCTTTTCAGATCTTTATGGCATAGAACATTGATTTGAGAATTTGAACACTTTTTTTTTTTTTTTTTTTTTTTTTGGTTTTTCGAAACAGGGTTTCTCTGTATTGTTTTGAAGCCTGTCCTGGAACTAGCTCTGTAGACCAGGCTGGTCTTAAACTCACAGAGATCCGCCTGCCTCTGCCTCCAAAGTGCTGGGACTAAAGGCATGCACCACCAGTGTCTGGCTTTGAACAACTTTCTAAAAGGCAATTTATGTGCAAACTGTTATGTCTTAAAATTTTTTATTTTATTTTTATTTTTCAAGAAAGGGTTTCTCTGTGTAGCTCTGGCTGTCCTAGAACTCTGTAGACCAGGCTGGTCTTGAAATCACAGAGATCCACCTGCCTCTGTCTCTTTATTGATGGGATTAAAGCCATGTCTTACCACCATCTGATTCAGAAAAGTTCTTACACAATTGTAAACCACATAATTAAAACATTTTAAAGTAACAAATCCTGTGTTAAGGCAACTCCTCACTTTAAAACACTGTAGTAGCTTTGTATTGTTACTTTGATAGAAACACAACTCCACAATTTGTATTGTCTGACTCCCACGTGCCTGTCTTCAGTTGTTTACTGTACTCTTAGGTTCTACATGCTAGGCTCACTGACTTTGTTTCATGTGTGTATATTGACCATGTTTAGCCCCAGCAGACACATTTTCCTAGAACAATTTTCTTTCTAGTCTGTTAACTTGTTTTGTTTCTTACTATGTAGCCCTGGCCAGTCTCAAACTTGTTCCTGCTTCTGCCGCTCACTAGGGGTTACTAAGACGTGATAATGTACTCAGCTCTTTGCTTTGCTAACTTCTAATAATCTCCCAGTTACTGACAAAACATTATTTTCTTCAGAGGCAACCTTGTCTCACTTTTATGCTCACTGATTTGCATGAATACCTTCCTTTAATAGAATTTATCCTAGCTACAGGTAGATACTTTGCACAGAGATTGTAAGACTCCCTAAAAGTAGGAATAGTGTCTATTTTTGTTCCATCATCATATTACTATTTTTTGAGGGTGGGAGAGGAGTTTTGAGAAAAGGTTTCATGTAGCCTAGCCTTGAACTGATCCTCTTGCTTCTATCTCCATAGTTAATGGGATTATAGGTACATGACACCTTGCTCAGCTCAGTGTTGTATTTATAGTATTTATTATGCTTAATGATAGTGTTTGGAGTTAGGTTGTTGCTTTCTGGATAGATGAATAAATAATGTATACTTATAAAGGTTTTATAAGCATTGTGTTTTTGAACCCAGTTGTAATGTTTAATGATGATAGGAAGAAGTGTGAAGCTGTTTGTGGGAGTGGTTTCTGTTATAATTTTTCTTTTTCTTTTTATAGGTTGCTGATCAGCTCTGTGCTAAATATAGCAAGGAATATGGCAAGTTGTGCAGGACCAACCAGATTGGGACTGTAAATGACAGGGTATGAACATACCTGGTAAATAGAACCTAGTGGGAGAGGTAGTTTTATTACCAGCAGGGGCTTGAGTTGTGCAGGCACGTGGTTGAGTTAGTTGAGGGATGTATTTCATAGTATAGTGAAGGTCAGAGGATGACTGTGGCCAGTAGTGCAGTCTGGGTATTTCCTTGCTTGCTTTTCTCTTTTCCATCTTCTGTGAGTTAGGAAGGTAGGAAGGAGAGTGGAAAGAAGGGTTGACTGAGTGAAATGGGGAAGGCACTTGTCTCATATATCACTAGAGAGTGAGGAAACCATGCATCCTGTAATGTGCCTTCTGACTGGGAAAAAAAAAGTTCATTTTTATTCTGATCTCTAATTTTAATGGTAAAATGAGAAGAACTAATTTTTTTTTTTTTTTTTTTCTTTTTAAAGAAACAAGTTAGAATTAGGCAGGTTGTACAGATACTTCTTAACATTGATCTTTTATTACAGCTAATGCACAAACTGAGTGTAGAAGCTCCGCCCAAAATCCTAGTGGAGAGATACTTGATTGAAATTGCCAAGAATTACAATGTACCCTATGAACCTGACTCTGTGGTCATGGTAAGTTTATACCAGAGCACAAAGGAAAATGAGTATGTAGTACTTCTTAGGGGCTGGGTATTATTTATACTAACTGAATTGGGATGTGTAAGCCTTTGTTCAGCTAATACCTTCTTAACAGTAAATATACCTGCAAATCTCACACAGAACTTAATGAATGAGTTTGAGAATTCACAACCTTGACAGAAACTTAAAGGCATGTTATTTTTACCTTTCAGTGAGCTTGAAGAAATCGATAATCCCCTTGTACATAGCACTACCCCAAGATCTACATTGTTGTGGAATATTATTTTAAGATGTGTTATGTTCATTAATGCAAAGATATGTTGCATTCTTTTTTGTTGCATTTGTTTAACTTTGTGAAGTTGTGTTACTTTGCCTGTCTAAAACACCTGACTGGTCTAATAAAGAGCTACACAGTCAATAGCTAGGCAGGAGAGGGATAGGTAGGGCTGCCAGGCAGAGATAATAAAAAGGAGAATGAGACAAGAAGGAGGGAGAAAAGGAGAAGGAGAGGAGGGCCAGCCACCCAGCAAGCAACAGAGTAAGAAGTAAAGAAAGGAATATAGTATATAGAAAGGTGAAAGCCCAGAGTCAAAAGGTAGATGTGATAATTTAAGGAAGCTGGCTAGAAGCAGGCCAAGCTAAGGCTGGACATTCATAAGTAAGAGTAAGTCTCTGAGTGTTTATTTGGGAGCTGGAAGTTGGGCCCCCAGAGAGCTAAAAAAAAGTACCAAGTACACTTCATAGTTCATTTATTGTGCTATGTGCAGATAGTGGTCAAAAAGCTGAGTGTGGAGATACATGTAAAACAAATTCTCTGTCCTGAATATAATAATGATTCAACAGTTAAATTTAGTGAGGTATATTAGAAGCATTTACACTAATCAAATCTCCAGCACACAAACACCCCCAGGACAGACAGCAGCATCTCGCCTTGCTCTTAGGAGTCTTAGTGTGTGGAAGCTCGTTCCTTCAGAGCTGGCCCTCTGTGGAAGAAAGTGTTCTTTCCTGGGCATTTTCTTTCTGAATCTGGCCAGGACAGGGAGTTTTAAACTCTACATTCTGCCCTCCTTCTCTTGGAGACCTTTGGGGACTCCCTTGTTCCCTGGTGAGTTGTCTGAGGTGGAGCATTGCAGTGTTGTGTTCTCCCTGCCTCCTTCACTCTTCTTGCAGGTGCTGATGTTGTGAGCAGTCCAGAGTAAACAACTTTTATGCTTGCATGTGTATCCCTAGACTTTCCTAGGAAACATGGTTGTGGACATGGATTATTTGCTTGTGTCTTTTTCTTAGGCAGAAGCTCCTACTGGGGTGGAGACAGACCTTATTGATGTTGGATTTACAGATGATGTGAAGAAAGGTGGTCCTGGAAGAGGAGGAGGGGGCGGGTTTACAGCCCCTGTTGGTGGACCTGACGGAACAGTGCCAATGCCCATGCCTATGCCAATGCCCATGCCCTCTCCAAATGCTCCCTTCTCATATCCACTGCCAAAAGGACCAGTAAGTATGTGTATATAAAGAAAGTGTGGATGTGAACTTTAGAAAATGTTGCAGAAGAGGACACACGGGCTCTATAAACACACTGAAGAGTTGTAGGTGGCCAGGAATTCAGAACAATAAGAATATTTGTAATCAACCAAGTGTATTGAGGAACAATATCAGACCGAGGAAAGTCCTTGGCTTATGCTGTAAGTACTGAAGTAGAAAAATGTAAAAATACTGGTAGGAAAAGATTACTAAACACCTAGGTACCTGTTGCAGTAATGCCAGTAGTTTTGTTTGTTTGTTTTGTTTTTGAAAATGAAGAACTTCCCTTTGTTATCAGGCTGAAAAACCTTTGTTGACAGGATGTTGGCTTAACAGTAGGTTATTTCTAGAAAAAGTGATTGAATTTTTTCCTTGGAGACAGACATTGAAGCACTTGATGTGGGAATTTGAGGAATAATGCTTGTAGATCTTTAAGCTTGTACTCTTTCTGACCACATGTGATCCTTTTGAGCCTTTCTTTTGAGGATCTTGAATACATACATACATACATACATACATACTATACATACAGTGTGTATATTCACACATACATATTTCGTACCATTCCATACAGAAGTTACAAATTGGGAGCAGTGTTTCTGATACTGCTTTTCTCTTACAGTCGGATTTCAGTGGATTGCCAGTGGGGACTTACCAGGCCTTCCCTAACATTCACCCACCTCAGATACCAGCAACTCCCCCATCGTATGAATCTGTAAGTGCCTGAGCCTCTTTGATAAACGGCAGGAGAGTGAATCCCATGAAGAGAGCAAACTAATGACAACAGGGAAGGCAAACTTTTGATCAACTTAGTATGGGTATTGCTCTTGCTTTGGGATTCTTTGTTGCTTTCATACTGCCCTGGAGATGGGGAGTGCTGTTGGTGGCATTTGTGGTGGGCATGCTATGTCAGCACTGAAGCCAGGAATCAGGAAGGAGCTGCTCCTAGGGAGTTAGAGTACTCATATGGACATGGTGGCACATGCCTGTACTCTCATTACTTTGGAGGATCAGGAGTTCAAGGTCAGCTTGGACTATATGAGCCCATCTAAAAAAAAGTGAAAAAGAAAGTTGTATGCCCTACTAGAGCACTTAATCTAGATGTATTTGTTTTACTAACTACTCTGAGAATCACATTGGGCTACTGTAATTTGATATTAGAATATATGTATTAAAATACCAGTTAAGTTTTGAACATTAATGAGGAAGAATAGTAATGGTATTTGACTTAACCAAAAGTGTCCAGTTAGTTGGTTTTGGGCTATAGCATTGGTTTTACATAAAACTTAGAGAGAGCATACCTGTAGCACAGGTCCAGTAATCATAGCAGCTTGGGAACTGAAGCAGATAGATAGATCACAAATATAAGACCTTATTTCAAAATAAAATTTTAAGGAAAAAAAAACTGTTGGGAAGTAGTTCAGTCATAAGGTGTATATCTGTCATGTAGGAGGCCCTAGGTCCCTAGTGCTTAGGATATATGGTATAAATGGCTCATGTAGTAAAGATGCCTTGAGCTCTTTGTAACAGCAGTTCTGCTCCACAATTACTTATTTTCTGCCAGTCTTACATATACATACCAAGCCTTTGACAGCTGTTTCTGGCTTAGGTTTACTTAGAAAACAAGTTGGTATGGGATTTGCTATGTAAATTGTTCACCTAGCAAGCTTTCCCTGATCTTTAGTTTGTTCATCATTTTTCCCATTGGTTTTCATCTCTAGCTGATGTGTTTTCTTCTGGAACAGAGTCTTTCTCATATCTTAGTATTTCATGTATCAAAACATAGCCAAATGTTTATGGAATGAGGCGGATCTTCATCAAGGGCCTTGGTTCTTATAGATTTACTATTTATTAGTTTGCTTTACCTGGCAGCTGAAAAGGGTCACAGTGTGGTAAGACTCTTCTTCCTATGCTTAGCAGTTCAGAGGTTGATATGGTGTCTATGTGGTTCAGAAAAGCATGGAGAGACCAGGAGGCATTTTCCTAGGAGCAAATTTTGTTGCTTTTGGTGAACAGCTTAGCTTTTGGAAAACACGGGAGCTGGTTACCAGTATTAGTACTTTGCCTAGAGATGTCATTCATTGTCTTTTCCTTTGGTAATAATCTGTATTTTGCAGGTTGATGACATTAATGGTGATAAAAATATTCCTTCTGCACAGATTGTTGGTGAGTGTTTCAGAGAGCTTGATGACTGCTGAACCCTCTTTTCCTCCTATTCTTCTCTCCATGGTCATGGCATTCCCTCCATGGTCCATGTTCTCTTTTCAATATCATGTGTCTAACACAGAACTCAGAACTTCTTGCTTTGAAACAATGTATTTTCCCTAGCCCAGATCTTCTACATATATATGTATGTATGTATATATGTATATGTATGTGGGTTTTTACATGTGAGTACAGGTGCCTGTGGAGGCTGAAGGACCCTCCTTGGGCTGCAATGTTGGTGGTTTTTTGTTTTTCTTTTTTTTTCTCTCTCCCTCCTTCCCTCCCTCTCTTCCCCCCCCCTCTCGTTTGTTTTGTTTTTCAAAACAGAGTTTTTCAGTGCAGTCCTGGCTATCCTGGAAGTCACTTTGTAGACCACAGGGCTGGCCTCAAACTCATAGATCTATCTGCTTCTGCCTTTCAAGTGGTGGAATTAAAGGCATGCTCTCTCCAGAATGGCTTGACAGGAGGTTTTGACTTGCGTGGTAGGAGCTGAACTTGAGTCTTCTGGAAGAGTACATGTGCTCTTAATGGATGAGCCATCTCTCCAGCCCTCCCTCATTTTTTTAAAACATTATTATTTTGTGTCTATGGTTGTATGTCTGTCTATGCACCATGTGCATGCAGTGTCCCTGGAGACCAAAAGAGACTACTGGATCCTCTGGAACTGGAGTTAAGGCTGTTGTGAGTGGCCATGTGGGTGCTTGGTCCTCTGGAAGAGCTTTTAACCACTGAGCCATCACGCCAGTCCTCAACCACAGCTGTTATTTTGAAGTGACATGTTGGTGTTTTATTTTGAAGTGACATGTTGGTGTGTTGGTTAGGTTTCTATTGCTGTGATAAACCACCCTGATCAAAAGCAACTTGTGCCTAGAGGTAGTGGCACACTTTTAATTTACAGAGCGAGTTTCAAGACAGGCTGCAAAGCCCTGTCTCAAAAAACAAAAAAAAAAAAAAAAAAAAAAAAAACTGGAGGAAGGGTTTATTTTGCTTACATTTCCATATCACAGTCCATTAAAAAATTAGGGCAGGAATCTGGAGACAGGAACTGAAGTGGAAGCCATGGAAGAATGCTGTTTACCTGCTCATGGCTTGCTTAGCCTGCTTTCTTATACCACTCAGGACCACCTGCCTAGGGGAGGCATCGTCCCTACTAGGCTGAGTCTCTCATTAATCTGATGGGGACATTTTCTCAATTGAGATTCCCTCTTCCCAAATGATTCTAGCTTGTGTCCAGTCGATATAAAACTAGCCAGCACACAGGGCAAAATGGACACAAACAATAAGGGTGAACTTTCATAAAGTAAGCATGTTTGTGTAGTTGTTCAGTAAGTTAAAAAATGAAGTGCTACTAGCACCCCAGAAAGCATGTTTAAAACCAGAGAAGTTGAGTGTGGTGGTACATCTCCATTACCAGCACTGGGAAGCTTGGGCCATTTGCTTAGTGTTGGGTCATTTGCCTAGCATGTGCAAGTCCCTGGATTTGATCTTCAACATCGAAAGATAAGGGGGAGGGGGGACAAACTGGAAGCTTTATACAGAATACACTATTACATCAAATAGTATCAGAATTAACATGACTTTGGACTTCCGTATCCTCTTGCTTCAACCTCTCTAGTGCTGGCCATGATAGGTATAAACCACCATTCCCAGTTGTATGCAGTGCTGGGGTAAAACCAAGAGCTTTGTGTATGTTAGGCAAATACTCCGCCAACTGAGCTACATCCCTAGCCTCTCCTGCAGTTTGATATTTTTTGTCCTCTGCCAAAAGGGATTGTGGGTTTTGGGTGGTGGTTTTACCAAAGGATAACTGAGTCATTTCTCTGTTATTTGTAACATTGTGCTCATTGCCCTGGTTTAATTAGGACCCAAGCCAGAAGCTCCTGCAAAGCCCCCTTCCAGACCCATGGATAATTACAACAACTTTGTACTGCCAGAGTTGCCATCTGTGCCAGACACACTCCCAACGGCATCTGCTGGAGCCAGTACCTCCGCATCAGAGGACATAGACTTTGATGATCTTTCCCGGAGATTTGAGGAACTGAAAAAGAAAACATAGGTCTCTTAGAGCAGACTACATCCACATTCTGGAAGTTGAGACTGCACAGTTCTTCCTTGTAACAGTGAATCCCCATGAAATTCCGTTTCATCTGTTAACCATCACTGAGCACTCTTGGGGCTCTTGCTGCTCTACCAATTGTGTTGCTTTCCAGTTCTCTAGTGAGATTGAGAGACTAACAGCTAGAGACACCGACTGGCTTCTGGTGGCTGTGTTTGCCTGTCTTTCTGTCACATGGATCCTTGGTTCTCTCCTGGCCATTCCATTCCCAGAGGAATGAGAAGAGAAGTATTGTGGGTAAAGTTGTCAAAGATGGCTGGACCATGGAAGAGACTACCCCATGATATGTCTCAACCTTGGCTTGTAAATGCATCCTTCTGCATGGGGGTGATTGTAGAGAGAATCAAGGCCACCATGTGTTTTCTCAGATGAGTTAGATGGCTCAGGAAGCCACTTTCATGGTTCCTGGAGGCAGGACCCTCTCATTGACATACACACTACTCCTTGCTGCAGGGCACTGTTCCACCTGGATCCAGTTGCAAAGTTTGTTTGGAAAAGTTCTCTCTTAGTTCTACTGGATTCTCAGGGAGCCCTCTGTGGCCTTTTGCTTTATTTTGAGTGCTCTGTTTCCCTTTTAGGAAAGAGCAGCACTATAGAAACTTGTTTTTTTCCCATAGCATGTTAGGAGAGAAGCTTAGGTCTCTATCCAAGCCTAGGGTGGGCTTCCAGTTGCCTTAATAGAAGTACTCAAGTCTCTTGGGTAGAGATCTGGAAGCCTACAGGAAAGAAGGGGTGCATGTTTTCATTGGAAAACTTTTATGATTAAGGGAATCATTACAAACTGATACCTTAAGTCTTAGTGCCATGTGGCTATAGCTCACTGCTTTCCTGGGTGGATGTGATTCTTTATTACGGTAACTTATGTGCTTCTTTCTCCCTAGCCAAGGCCACACTTCCCCAAGAGATTAGCTTTGGGACTAGAAGATGAGATTTTTGCTTATGTATAATATTTCTGTACATACCTGTTTCAAGCAACCTCATTGTTTTTGATTGATTTGTCTCTCATAGCTCAGTGGCTGTTAATAAAATCTCATGTTCTGCTTTCTCTAGTGTTGGTCAAATGAATGGATTTTAGTGGAGAAAATTACCGGTGACCCATATTAGTGTACAAGCCAGGTCCAGCCTTCACTTTCCTCTCCCTTAGGACTTCAGGCATCAGGAGCTCTTGGGCCTCATTTCCATCTCTGAATTTGAATTCAGGTAGCATCTGTGAATGTGCTTGTGCCACTCTATTTTCAGTGAGCTGCACTTGAGCTCACTCTTGACATGAGTGGTGAGCACTCTGTTACCTGCTGTTGGCAGGGTGGCTGGTTTGTGCTATATACTTAGGGTATGATTCTCTTATTACACTGCTGAAGTCCATCAGCAAGATTACTAAGACAGTGGGATTTAGATTCTTCACTAAC